GCGGGGTCTACGATAGAAGTCGTAGCAGTCGTAGAGTCTTAAGTCGTAGAAAATTAACCAATCACAGTAGAATATGAGAAGAATAATCGATTATGATTGGTCAATTTTCTACGACTTAAGACCCTACGAAGTACGACTGCTACGACTTCTATTGTAGACCCCGCAGGCGTATGTGTTGGTATGTGTCGTATGTGAGCGGGAAAGAAGCGACGCCGCGGCCGGCACGGCGCGGTGGCGATGGATCGCTCGTAGTCACTTCTTTAAGTTTTGTTCCGACAACGCGATACTCGATAGAGCCTCGAGGATATATTCCCGCGCCAAGTTGGGTCTATGGGACTCAACGTCACCTGCTGGGAGATGATACGCGCGCGGGAGGAAAAGTCGAATTTCGACGATACGGACGGCACCGAGGTTCAGCATACGATTATGAACAACATGGTAGACGCCAGGGCCTGTTACAAGCCTAGTGGCAAAGTGAGTGTCGAGTTTAAATCTTTAAACACGAATCGCATTTAAAACGAGACAACTTTGATCAAATCCTGATTAATCATCGCATCATACAGTGCAGTGGAATCGTTTTCTTACAACGCAAAATTTCTTGGGCACAACTCGTCGTTTTACTCTCATCTTTTTCTCTGTGTGTCGAACAAAGAATTAACAATTCTGCCCTAATAATTTATATTAATAAAATTACTTGGATAGAACTGTTAATTCTATTGTTTGCAGTAAAATCCTTAGCTGGCGATGACTGGATCGTTCAAAATTGGACGGTTTATTAGTTTTCAAAGATTATATTTGTATATCCCCTTTACATTATTATGAGAATATAAAAAAATCAAACTCGAAAACTGGTACTTCTTTTTTTATATATAATACTTATACACAGATCTACTTTTTCATTATCTAAGGGTGAATTCAATCATTCGCGCTATACTAGATTAATATACATTAAAAGGTATACTCTATGTAAAGTATCTGAATGCTATGGTATAATGCAGGGTGTCCCCAAAGAGGAGTCATAGACTTTAAGGGCATATAGAACAATAAAAAATAAGTCGAAAAGTTCTAATGTAAGTGCGAAAACAAACGATTGCCAAGATATCTCTTTGTTTAAACGATAAAACATCGGAATTAGATATAAACAGACATGATTTCGATCAAATCTGACAAACTTACTGTTTGGATGAAGCGCAACCTTTCAACAAGTTGCTCCTCCGAAATTTATTCAGAAATCCATTTTTGAAATTTGTAAACAAATGTTCGTTTTTCTTGTTCTACATGCTCCTAAAGTGTATGACTTTTTTTAGAGACACCTTGTATAATAAACTTTGACAATGCAGTAGCACATGCATATTCTGTTAAATAATGTGATAGCATCATTATTAAGTATTTAATTGTTTAAAATATTAAGTATGTTTTTTTATCTAAACTAATTCACACTTTTTGTACATCAAGTGAAATAGATATGTGTTTGAAATTTGTCAAAAATGAGAAGAAAAGTTCTGGTGCAGTCTACACAGCAAAATAAAAAATATTTAACTTTTATGTACTTAGGCCCAGTTTCACAACTGACGGTTAACTCTTAACCGAAGTTCAACTTATTCATTATCTCTTTTCAATTCTAGAATTGGAAAAAGGTGACAAATAAGTTGAACCTCGGTTAAGAGTTAACCGTGAGTTGTGAAACTGGGCCTTATAGCAGTTTTCACCGCTCTTTTATGTACATGTATTGATCTAGTGTAACGCATAACAATCGAATTTGCTGTAATAGCATATATATTCAAAAGCTACAATTCTCCAAAGGTTAGGTTCTGCTAATCCTGTTCTGAGAATTATATCCATAATAAAATATTATATCCATTTCTGCCTATATAGATTAACTTTAATTTCGATTAAGATAATTTTGATCAAGATTAAAGTTAATCCATGTTGGTAGAAATGGACATTTTCAGTATTGCATATATTGATAAATTAATCAGGATTCGGTTGAAGTAGTCCGTCTAGTCTTTACAGGAAGTTATTTGTATGGAAAATTTTTTGCATGCAGTTCTCTGTAATTTGCAGTTCTCTGTAAATTTCGTATGGCTATTATGAATTTCATGTATTAAATAAAGGAATAATTTCGTATCGATTCGGCAATAGAATCTGTAACGTCAACGAATCATTGTGTTCTAAGCATCAATCTATTTCGTAGGATTGTTGTTATAATTTGTCGCGTGTGCGCATGTGATATATAGTTGATTTTCTTCCGGCCTCTTCTATTTTTTTTATTTGACGTTTACTGTATGACAGAAACATATGAAAATGTATATCAGAGCGATGGATACATGTTCAGGTTTGTAATATTTACACTATGATTTATTTAGTGAAATGTTTTTTACACTGAAAAATTATGCATTTTTTACCTAAACCGAGCTTATTTAAATAAATCCTAAATTATCCCAAGCTTCAGAGAATATAGGATATAACAGAATGTCCCATGCTGAAACTAATTATCTCTTATTCTGTAACGTATATCGGGAAAATTAAAATTGCGATTAACAAAAAAAGAAGATATTTGGCAGTTTTATTTGAGTATATTCTGTATATTCTGTACAATAGAAAATTTTGACACAATTTTATCTAACTTTACAAAAAAAAATGGCGAAAATCAGATAGTCTAATGATATATATTTTCGTGTTAGAAAAAAGATAATAGAACCAATTTTTATACTTAAGTCATGGAAGAAGAGATTGAGAGAGTTTAGTTTCAGCAACTTTCCATCCAGGGGCCAACCGCTTGGCTAGCAAATTCAATAAGCCCTCGATCATCACATTCAAGAAATAATCATATTTCTGTTTCTCTTCTATATATTCCTCGTGAGTCATCGATGCGTAGCGGCAGAATTGAAATAGAAAGCGGAAACTTGAGTCCACTTGTAATTTGTGTTGTTGAATGGCACTCGCAAAAGTATCAAACTCATCAATATTTGTATTTCATTGTTATTGATACCTGTTGCATGACACTGCAACAAACAACAGGCGTCAGGTTCTGCGAGCACTAATCACTAGATAGTCACTCGCCTTTGTCAGTAGAAGCCGAATGGTCGGCGCGGTGTGGCTGAACGCATTCGGGCTCGATAGCACTCGGCTCTCGCACGGTAGTAACTCTTGTTCTGTAGTTGTTCTTTTCTGTGCGACGAGCGCGTCAATCGGTCGATCTCGTAATCGCTCCGAGCATCACGAGGAAGGTGAAGAAACGCAAATTGTTCGCATGGCGCATCCGGGTGTACGTATCGCAATTTAAACATTAGAGCAGTTTGCTCCGCAGACAGTTTTACATCTGGTCAAAGGAGCCACAATTGTCTCTAGACTGTATCTGGACTATCACGTACCTGTACGTAACTCCTGATTTTTCTTGACCTCTTTGATTTCACACGTAATACTACCTACCCTCGGTCGTGAAGATGAATCAAATCAAAAGAAAAAACGATCTATCCGGCAGCCGAATAAAGACTCCGCGCTCGAGGACATGCTAATGGCAAAAACTGGTGATTAGAGGCTTTTCGCTTTTGCGAAAACAGGCAAAAACGTTTCACTACGTTTTAACTTCAAGTTATATGATGTACAGCTTACATGGCCTAGATTATATAGGTATAGCATGCATGATATAAGCCTGCTATATATCATCAAAGAAACCTCTATCTCACGTGTGCCTGCAGTGGCACCGCCAAAATAAGTTATCCAATTTTGACCGCGTCGTTTGTACAAGCAATAATTGGAAAATTTAACGACTCAATACTTGGAGCATGTTTGGCGAACAGCCTTCAAGGATTTTTCCGCGTTGAACCGCATTCTCTTCGATGGAAAACTATGATCATTCAAAATCTTTCAAAATTGGAGGGAAAGTGGTTATTACATTTAGAAAAGAGAGAAGATCTCGTTAGCAGGATCATCACTGTCTCGGTAACGACGCGATCGTTGCGATAACTCGGCCCGAGTAACGTCTAATTACGTGAGTTAATTCAATCCCCGTCACATTCCCTCCCTTAGCTCAAGTTTATTAGGTACTTTAGTTACACAGAAATTGCGGCCGCGCTTTGACGCGCCGCGCGAGCTTACTCTCATAATTTTATGAGTTGTTTGTTAATTAGACACCTGTCTCATTTTCCTTTGTTTCTTCTAGTAAGCGCGGCGTGAGAGAACGACTCGTGTAGTTGGTTATCCACACCAGTGACTCTTTTTCTCTCTTTTCTTGTTTTTCTCCCTCACTTTCTTTTTCTCTGCTCCCCCCCCTCTCTCTCTCTCTCTCTCTCTCTGTTTCTCCAATCACCTGCACATGCATGGGTCCCGGTTTGTCGATTACCGCATCCTCGTTGTGCACTGGCGACAATCATCTCACCGCGCACGTGTATTCGTCGAGAACCAGCTGTCCTGGACACCAGATCCCGATCAGACATGACCAACGATAGACGGGTGAGTATTATTTCTCTTGCTCTCATAGAGTTCCATATGAGAATTAAAATCAGAGGAAAAACGCAAAATTTCTGAGCTTTTAAGCATCTGCGACTTGTGACAGATCAACATTTTGGATTGTCACACGTTTAAAGCGGACCTTGTAGAGACTTTGAACAAAGGGAGTAATTTTTTGTTTGACCTGCATTCAAAAAACGATCCTAAACCTTTACCAAATTTATGCTTGTGCACGTTGAGCGAATTGTTTATAGTTTTTAAAACGGCTTTATATAAAAGTCGGTGTACTTATATAGCGGAATCTCGTCAAAAAACCGCAATGCTTTTTTTTTTAATTTCTGTCTCTTAAAAGGTAACGCAACTTTATAAATTTTTGGAGTAAAATGAATAAAATCTCTAATCTCTCCAAAAAAGAGTGTACATTTGCCACTTTTATTAAAGAGTGCAAATTTTTTAGTCTTTCAATAGTGGTAGTATTTTAACTCTTGGAATGAGATTTCATTCCAAGAAATTTAGAGTTTAGAGAGTAAACGTGATTTTCGAATTATTACTGTATTATGAATGAGTCAAGTAAACATTTTTTTTTATTCTATCAACAAAAAAGTGAACTAATCTCATACAAATCGACGAAATTATCATAATTCGAAAAAGATGATTTTTAAAACTCGTTAAAATTAAATATATGCACTAGCATACGTCCAACGATTTTAAAAAGTGTGATTTTTTTAAAACAAAAATGACAAAAATGATGAAAATAATTCATCATGTTGATACTATATGTACAGGTATATATATTCTTATACCGATCCATTTATTTTTAATTAGACAATAATTTTCTATCAAGTTGAAAAACACTTTTTTCCCTTTTTTGAGAAATTTAACTTTAGTTATATCTACTTAAATAAGGGAATGATATGTCAAAATTTTACGTATATCCTTCTCTTCGTATATAAATATAAACTGCAGCATTTCATGTGTAGAATAAATGAGGATATAAAATATCACGTCTTTATTGCATTACTTATACATAACAACGAGGAAGCCGCAACGACGTGATTACATAATGTACCGGTTATTGATTTTGATTACGATACCTTGCACACTTAACACAAAAGGTATCCCAGATCTACCGAGCAATAAAAAACTTACGTTTTCTTTGATCAATTTTTCTCTAATCTTTTCTTTACAAAAATAATGATAGTTTTCAACTTACCAGCAAATTTTTAGGAGCTATAAACGCAGATCTTTCATTTAATTTTAAATGAATTTTAATCCGTAATTCCATTTAATTTAAAATAATTCATACTTGTATGAAAGACAGGTTCGAATAGATTCGGTAGATCCTGCGCGCCTGATATATTTCGGCATCTAATCCTTCGCCGTGTCGTCAAAGATGTATCCAGGATGAATAAATTTAGAAATTTCTAACTTTATGTTAATAATTTGCTTATTAAAATAAAATATAATTTCTCAAATTGTAAAAACAATTATTACTGTTGTGGTATTTAATATTTTACAATTAATATTTACAATCTCAAAACAATGTTTTGATCAGCTGTAAAGAATTTACTATCATTTTTCCGCAGCGTGTGAACAGGGCACGCCGAAATCGCACGTAATGCGTCATGCGTCATTGTTCTTGATGTCTTGATCTTGAGTATACTTGCGCAAATTGGATGCAATTAAGCTATCATACAGTGAGTAATTTTTTATCATCATGAATAATAAAATAATAATGATGATTGAAGCTATTAAGCACTTAGTAAAAATATTCGTGAAAACTCCAATGATGCACTATCGAAAGGAGAAAATAAGGTTAACTTTGATAAAATTATACTCAATTTACGTTGCCTTGTCAGAAAGAAAATCCAAAAGAAGTGTATGGGTCAGGCCCATTTATTCAGTAGAGCAGCGGTTTCGCCAAGGTGATAGTAACAATTTAGTTACCATGCTGAGAGCAACTGATCCTTCGCTGCATTTTAATTATTTGAGAATGGATGTTGGCACCTTCGAGCATTTTCTTTCAATAGTAGGCCCTGGAATTGAAAAGCAAACAAATATTAGAGAACCAATTGCTTCTGACACAAGGTTGCAAATTTGCTTGAGGTATTTAGCCAGTGGAGACAGCATGAGATCAATAGGATATGCATTTCGAGTTTCAACAAATATCAAACGTATACTATCTCACTTTAAATTCCAAAAGTGTACACTAGTTCAGTCACAGAAAACGGACCTGCGATTTATCACCGCGGTTTAAAACATAACGTATTCTCTATTCCGGATTATTCCGGATCATCTAAGTGCGGAATAGCGCTGATTGGTTGCTTCAATGACGCATTCCGTATTCCGCAGCCCTATGACGCACCGTGTGATTTCACCCTTACGCAGTTTTCACAATTCACTTGATTATCTTCTTTTTTTTCCTTGGGAAAAAGTCGCATAATTCGATTTATCTCACCGCGCTACGCTACACATCGCGGTAAAAATATGTCGATTCACACGAATTCAAGAGATTTCACACATTCGCGCTGTCAATTTGGAGACACTGGTAGTGTCTCGGCGCTAAGCCAAAGCGCAGCGACACTGCCGTGGCTACTTTACGCGAACCGGAGAGATGCGTCAGATCGAGATTATCGGATCTCAATAACGGCTGTCTCGATTGATTTTAATATATACCTTACTCGATAGCTTACACTACGATTGTATTATACGTGTTTTTATTTTTTCTCTACGTATTCTATAAGCGGAGATATTGCCACACAAATTTCCGAACTGTTCACTTTTCATTGAAATTCAACATGGGATACGTCATCATCAACCGAAAAAAATGTACGACTGCACCGTCTGGCACTAGATGGCTGTAGAGGCATTTAGATAGATTAGATGCCTGCACATTCCAATTGAAGTTTGGTTTAAATGAATAGTTTGAATACAGTCCTAGAAATCAGAGATGCGACATTAAAGAATATGGTTTGATTGGTCTAAATCTCACGTGACCGCCATTTTAATTCATTACTGCTATAATTAGAGTTCTAGGACTCTACGTATAGAGTCTAATAATGTACGTATAATGTATGTACTATTAAGTACATGTTATAATAAGTACGTACTAACTTTCTTTATTTTCTAACAATTTAACTTTCCTCATGTAATGCATTATTAGCTGTCATCAGCTTATAAAGGTGCCTTTTCATGCCGACGCTTGACACTCATTTTCGGCGTTCAAAATCATCAAAATAAGTCACGTGATAAAAATTGGCGAATATCAAGCGTCAATTTTGATATTGGATGCTTCCTATTTGATGACACGAAATGATGTTTCGATTGCGAAAATTGATAATTGGTAAATAAAGAAAATGACCGAGAATTTGTTCGTTACCAATACTATTTAATACTATTTATATAATTATATATTTATAACAATAGAAATTGGTTTCAACATGGAAGTGAAAAAGGAAGCGTAAGTATATATCTCTTTTTCACAAAAATATTTTATGAAAGAACTTTTTAGAACAAAATAAGATTACTTCTTCTTTGCAGTATAGATGATACTAAAATGCTGCTCGTTTTCATATACAAACGAAATTTTCGGCGACTCTTCTTTTATACTAAAACACCTACCTCGTTTCTAAAAGCATAATATTGTTCTTCGAGGTTTCCTGTAGGCTGCTGGCTACTTATTTTAAACTGGTAAAATCTGAAACTCTTATATGCAGCACACATTGTGACGAGTTGACTACAGAAGCCGGTGACAAAATTACAATTTTTAATTTTCTTTCATTTTTCGTATTAAATTATAGCTGGCAGCCTGTGTTG